AATAAGAAAATAAACACTGATGATTAGACCAATATACCAATTAGTCATTTTCTTAAAAATCTAATACGTAATAACAAGCTCAGAGGTCAAGTATATTAACATTCAACATATACACAACTAAGTTATATTATAAAAATCTTTAAATAGTACTCAAAATGTATTTCCTAAATTCAAATAATCCATATTTATGAAAATTGCTACACCTTATTTTTCTAGTCAGTACTTGTATAGTTTTAAAACAAATTGTTTACAGATCATTTTCCATTGGTTAGAATGTTACATTATGGTTCCATGAATGATTTTTTTTTCCTGTTTAACAAGGACAGACAACAAGCAAAAATCTTTAAATTCGCCAATAACCAATACAAGAATGAGAATCAGCCAAATATTTGAGAAAATAAACTGTAATGTACAACTGAAAATATTTTACATTCTATAGCAAAACTGTTTTAGAAAAATCTCAATTCTAACATCTTGAGAGCCAAGTTTCTTGAAAGAATATTATTCCTTAATACTATTCTGGCCTATTCATTCTATAACCAAATGAAAGTGGGCTTCTGTCTTATTAATTCAACAGGAACTGCTCAAACTGAGTGTCCACTAATGTTTATAAACTTTAATTTACCTGAACTCTCTGTAGCATTTGAGGCAGTATACCACTGTTCTCTGTAACTCCCACTGTCCCTTTTTCTATTTTTTTTTTAATTCATGACTTTTCTCTTCAATTCCTGCAATAATTGTGCTCTCTAGTAAGCTATCCTTAAGACTCCTGCTTTTGATTTACAACAAAGTACTCCCAAAGTTTTACCTATGACAGGAGAGAAATTAGCCTGGTAAGATACAGTATTTTGTACTGCCTATCTACCAAAAGCCACACCCCACACTACTGACAGAGTAATCCTTCTAGAATACAAATCTAATAAAATCACTCTCCTTGTCTAAATCTCAGTAGGATAGTCCAAAATCCTGAATGGGTGTCTTATGATCTGACCTGTGTTAAACTTTCCAATCTTACCTTTTCCCTGCTAATCACAATTTGTGTACAGCTTTGTACCTAGGTTTCTCCATTCTTCACCTTCACCTCAATTTAACTAACCTCTCCCATTGAATACATAATTATTCTTCCTCTCCCTTCTTATGCACTCTTACACCTAAATACCATAATTATCTTGGAAGGCTGAGGCAGGAGGATTTGCAGAGTTCCAGGCCAGCCTGGGATACAAAGTGAGTTCAAGGCCAGCCTGAACTAATAGTAAGACCCTGTCTCAAAAATCAAAGAAACAAATACCACAATTATCTACATTTACATTTGGCTTTGCCCTGATGTCATCTAAATGCACAACTGCAACAACTAAAAAGTAAATAAAGACTAAAGACCTTGGGAAAATACTCAAAGGATTCAATATACTGGCAAAAAAGTGAAATAACTAATGAATAGGAAAATTAGGAAAAGCAACTGAGTTATGCCTGTCATTAATCTCCTTCAGGACTACAAGAAATCTCTTAACCTTAATTATATAGACAGCTAGAATAAAGCCAGCACACAGTAGATGTAACTTTAAACTTAAGATGTAATTTCTTCTTTCAACTTTAAAAAAGAACTGCTTTTAAAAACCAAATTTTAAAACCAGGTTAAAATAAAAATGCTATAAAAATAAATTTTAAAAATGCTATTCAACCTTTTTAGCTGTAGCTGAAAGTGATTTTTTTTTTAAATTGGTGACAATGGCCTAATTATGTTATTTATCTTATTTCAAAGTTTAAAACATTAGTCATCCAAGGGAGACTTAAACTAAAATAAAACGGACAACGTGTCTAACATCTTGAAAAATTTAAAGTGAACAAGAATAAAGAGCTGTAACAGAATCTGATTCTCTTTCTTTAAAGCTGAAACTAGTATATTGCAGTTATAACAGAATAAGAAATTAGAACCAAAAAAAAGTTATATTCAAAACATTTCATTTCTAAATTACTGAAATATACCATACAATTGCTCTCACTTTTTAATACAATATTTAAAACAAATACACTTTTATTATCACATAGTGGTAATATGAATTTATGTAATACTGATATTAAAGGAATTTGAATAAAGTTTACACTACAAATTTTGTTTGCTCACACTGTACAAAAAGTAGCTGAGAATCATGTTTTTCTTTTCAAATTCTTACTAAAGCATCACTTCTAGGATGGATTATTGATACTTCATGAGGAAAACCATAAGCAGAGGATCTAAACAAGCATCCTTTTCTTACAGGGCAGCATCTGTAAAAAGAAAAACAGCAAGACAGTTTCTAACAAGTTATATTACTATTATTATTGTTTCAGTTTGAGACAGGGTCTCACTTATCAGGCTAGCCTCAAACTCACAGCAATCTTCCTGCTTCAGCCTGCAGAATGCTGAGATTATAGGCATGCACCACCATGCCCAGCTTGCTTCTGACAAGTTATTACACAAATCAGTCATTTAGACTACATATCTACTTATACTCTATTTGCAATCTCATGCCTGTTTATTAACTGAAATATGTACAAACATAAAAACTAATAAAGTTATATGCCAGAGGCCCATACTGGTACTGAATGAACAGGGAGGAGACAAAGGCAGGAATCTGGGGAGCCCACTCATCCCCCTTTTCCAGTACAGAATAAATTAAGAATAGGCATATGAGCTGTCATCATACTACTTTTTGCGTAACTCAACTTGAACTTTTTTAATAAACTGTGTGTCTCTCCAACAGAAAGTATAAGCTTCATCTCTATATCCTCTTTAAAAAAAAAAAAACTCACATATATCCTTAAATAGCCCTTCTGGGTTTGGATTCAGAACAATCCACAAATCCATGGATTTAAATAAAAACACTCTGGGCAGAGGTTTTTCTAATTTTCTTGAAAGAACATTTATTGTGTTTAAAAGTTAAGTACTTAAATAACTTTCTTCTAAAACAATCTTCAAATACTCCTAACACAATGTCTGGTTTTTTTAGGGCACCAACTGCAGAATCTATTATTACCTATTTAAACATTGCTAGCTCCTCATGCTATCTGGGATATCCCATTCTGGTCCTAAGTATTCTATAAAAATAATTTTGAGTGTCTTCCAAATAAAATGTAATTAAATGTACATTTTATACATAATGAATATACTAAAAAAGTTACATATTACAGCTAGTAATGAAAGTCTTTAGTAAACTTCTATGCAGTTATTATAGAATAATCAAGACTTAGTTCTATAAACCCATGATAAAACAGGAAACCTTCAGACAATTAATTTCTTGGTATACATCTTCAGTAACCTCAGTAACATTAAAGATAACAGAATAAGATTGAAGGGAACAAAATAATCACATATTTTGCTGTTTTCCTTCTAAACTTGTCCATAATCTACATAATATCCCATTGTAATACTGTAAAATCAAAATGCTGGTAGGCTTACCTCTCTGGTCCACATGCAAATGGCACTATGACTTATAAAACGTTCAAAAGTCAACACAGTAAGTAGAGTTAATGAGCATACACCTTTCCAAACCCATGAGTTTAAAAAGCTCTGAATCAATAAAGTTGGTAAAGACACCGTATGTCCTCTCCCTCCACACACTCTTAGACAGCAATGAGGATGAGTGAGAAAGGTAAATGGAATCACAAGAACGGGAGGATTGCGCAGAACACATTGGAGGATTTCCAATGTGAAAGTCCAATGCAAGAAATAGTACAGTATTCCCAAAAGCGTTTGCTAATTTTTCCTCCATTTAAAAATCAAAATGGACTGCACATAAAATCCAAAGTTCTTGTAGTAGCAAAACATACATGCTTCTGGCATACCATTCAGTCTTATCTCTGTGATCCCACTAGGTACCCAAATCCGTAACACATTGTCAAAAAATAATGCAACCTAACAAACATCGCTACAGTGTGATACATGGAAATTACCGAACAACTTTTAAGTACACAGACACAGGAGAAAGCGGCTCCGCAAAGTTACTCATCTTATGGAGCTAGTTAAATGACGCAAAGGGGAACTTTAGTGACACACCCAGGGCCGACAGCCACGTTAAGGATACAGCTCTTCCGAGGTGGAGAGGTCTCTCGCCAGCTCTGGCTGTTGATGAATCCGGATCCCGCTCCTCCTCCCAGAGGTCTACACCCCGGCTTGCCTCCTCGCTCACCCACTCCTCGACCCCGACTCCAGCGACTCCCACCCCGGTAAGGCCTGCCTCGAAAGCGGAAACGGTCCAAGGCAATGTGGCTCCGCTCCCAGAAAGACGGCCGGGGGCTGCTTTCGGACAGTGAGCTCGAAGGCATCCGCACCGAGGGCGGATGAGACCGGAAAGGCTCTTTGGGTCGGTAGCTGCAGTGTCCCCTGAGGTGGCCCCGCTCCGACGCGTGCCGCGAGCGTGAGAAATTCCTCAGCTGCTGCTGAGAGGACGAGGACGACGAAGAGGAGCCACCGCCTCCGCCGGATCCACCGCCCCGGGGCGGGTGTGGGGGCCTTCGCCGCGGGTACGGTAACAGCCCGCCGCCACTGCTGCTGCTACTGCTCCGGCTCCGTATCTGGCTGTTATTATCATCGTCGCTGATCTCACCATCCTCGAGCTCCCCTTCTTCCTTCGGCGACAGGCCACTGGAGGCCGTGGCTGAAGGGTCCGCGGTCGCCATCCGGGAAGCAGCGCCTTCCACACAACCTTAGCCCTCCGTCCGGGGATCCGCCCGACAACTGCCTTCCTCCTCGGCTCCCTTCTTAACTAACGGACCCAGTAGGTACGGCCCTACTGCATTCAGACACCTAGCCGGTTCTGCCCCCCAATTCCCCGCACCCCAGTTCTTTCTCGCCGGACCGTCGCAAGCCTGTTCCCTCTCCTAGCGCCCCCTTGCTCTTCAGCGATCAGCAATCTTCCGCCTCGCGAGAAAGGGGCTCTTCTAGCGGCCGAGTCCGCGCCGTCACTTCCGGCGGCACGCCGGAATCGAGGTTCCCAATTCTCGCGATAACGTAGATAACGCGCGGCTCCCTGACTTTTGGAGTCTCTAGTCTGTCATCTGGCTCGCTCTTCCGGTTTGCAACACACCCAGCCCAGACTCTATATGGGGACAGCTGGGTGCGTGCCGGAACGGGCCGGTTTACTCTTAACTACAGATTTGAGAAAGTTTCGTAGTGAACGGAGGGGAAAACACCTCTTTTAATTGCTCTGAGAATTGCTGCCAAAGGGACGCGGCAGACCTATTTCAGGAGACTGGAAGGAGCAGGGAACGGGCAATGTCCGCCATCTTGGTGAAGGCGAAGGGAGGATCCGGGAGCTCCGCGATGGTCGGCTCTGCCGGCTCAAATGCGTCGTATTAATAAAGAGAAAAGGAAAGTTGAACCTTTCTTGCGCCCCACCCTTCATACACACCCCTTCTCTCCACCCCGCGACCAACACTAAACTCTTGGGCAATTCGCCTGCATCGATTGTTAAGCCGCTGCTTGAAGGAAACTTAGCAGCCGGTGCCTAAGAACAGGTTTAAAACAGCACCGAATGAGGGGGCAAGGGAAATGCCGACCAATTGCGCTGCAGCAGGCTGTGCTACTACCTACAACAAGCACATTAACATCAGCTTCCACAGGTAATCTGGGAAAGGGAGTGGGGATGTGGGAGCTACCGGTCCGGGTATCGCTCGTGTGGAAGGAACAGGAATATTCTACTAATTTTATTAACTTTCACAGGCAGTGTCAGGGAAGAATTATTTTTGTCGTTTATGTGTGTTTCTCAAGTCTATCCATTTTCTTTCTCCTTTCGGGGAAAGTACTAATTTTTAAAAAGAAATCAAATACTATCCGGCGACTCCTTAGAGAAAAAGTAACAGGAGAAAACCTTAATTTTCTACTCTTCTCCTACGGAATATTAGACCATGTTTTGTTATGAATGATGCCATAAGAGATAGAAATATCTTTTCCCCTTCAAGTCAACAATCACCTTAGAAGCCTTTCACGTGTCCTTTAATATTTGGAAAAAAATATCACTAGGTGAATTGACATAGGAAACGTTTAGGTTCCTAACTGTAACTGCTGAAGAACTGAGTTATCACGGATAGCCATGAAACTCAGCGATGTTAATGAAATTGCAAAAGATAAGTTTTATTTTCTCGGACAGAGTAATCAAAAGAACCTAGGTCTGCTAGAAGAGCCATGGAAATTCTTTAGCTCTGTCAAATCAGAGCTCTTGAGCCGGTCCTATGGTGGCACATACCTGTAATCCCAGCACTCGGGAGGCTGAGGCAGGAGGATCGCTGTGAGCTCGACACCAGCCTGGGCTACACAGTGAGTTCCAGATCACTTTCAACTACATAGTGAGACTTTCTCAAAACAACAAAACAAAACAAAAACAAAGCTCTTGAAAGCACTTTGAACACTGCCTGTAATATAATAGGTTCTTTGATAAATATATTTTCATCTTCTCTTCAGGTGCCTGCTACCTGCCAGATGAAAAATATTTAGTTAAATGATAGCAGTTCTTACCTATTTTTGTTTTCTTTTTCTCTTTGTAGCCCAAGCTAGCCTTGAACTTTCTGTAATCCCGCTTGCCTCAGCCTTCCCAGTGCTGGGATCACAGGTGTGTGCACCATACCCAGTCAGTTTTGGTTTTATATATTTCACAGTTTATATGATAGCTGGCGTGATGGCACACTCTTGTGATCCCAGCACTCGGGAGGCTGAGGCAGAATCACTGTAAGTTCGAGGCTACCCTTGGCTACACAGTGAGGTTCAAGGTCAGCCTGAACTGCGTAGGAGATCCTGTCTGGGAAAAAAAAAATGACATTAGAATATAGAAAATTGTATCTTTGACCTTTCCCTGTTACTAAATACACCCCCATAGTAAAAGCTATCCCTGAAAAATAATTTTGTGATACTTGTTTTTGAACTATTTCATGCAAATGTAGTGCTTTATTCATCTATCAAATATGTATGGAGTTCTAATTGCCCAACATTGTGCTAAAGATCCATAAAGTTCTTAACCTCCTTAAGTTTAGAGTAGAATGGAGGAGAGATACAAATAATTACAGTTAAGTGCCCCAGAGTAGATCTTCAGAGACACCTCATTTCACCTTTGAAAGTTAAAAAAAAAAAAAAATCTCAAAGGATGTGACATTTCATATGAGAGGAAAGGGTGACATATACTTGGTCCTCCATGCTACTTAAGTATCTTCTATTTTATTCCAAGAGTACTTGAGAAGCTATGGAAGGTTTAAAGAAAATAATGGTATGATTAGATTTGCATTATTTATAAGTCCTCTGGCTGCAATGTGAAGAATTAGAGCATTACTTAAAGTGCTGATCAAGCATCATCAGTGAATCTGATGAGAAAGGAGTTTATTGTAGAATGTTAATTTACTTGCTGTTTCTTTCATAGGGAAATCCTACTGGGATGTTAGTTGAGCTAAATGCAACCACTTACTTAGTTTCTAGCACAATGAGCTTGCTTAGGGGAGGTGAGAATTAATTTTTTTAAAAAACAAGAAGCTGTACTATGCCCAGGTCTTTTGTCTACTATCAACCTGACAGTTTCACTAACTTTATCCCCATGTACAAATTATGTTACCTGAATTTACTGCCTCCAATTTTTCTTATTATTTCTGTTAGCCCCCTTGAGGCTAAGCCTCTAATAATCTTCTGACACTGCCCTTGTTCACATGACCTCTGCTCTCTACATTCATTTTTCATGGTCTGTGTTCATTTCATACTATTCATTTGTCATACATTCATTTTTTATGGTATGTGTTCGTTTCCTCCTTGAAATACTCTCTTCTTTTAGCCCGGTGAATCCCAGCTACTCAGGAGGCTGAGGCATGAGGATGGCAAGTTCAAGGCCAGCCTGGGCAACATAGCGAAGATCTTGTCTCAAAAAAAGGAGGTTGGGAATGTAGCTCAGTGATAGAAAGCTTACCTAGAATGTGTGAGGCCCTGAGTTCAATCCTCAGTGCTGGGGGAAAAAAAAGAAATACTCTCTATTTTGGAATTTCTTGATACTAAGTTTGTGATTTATCTTCAGTCTCTTCTGTTAGCCCATCAGCACACCTCTAAAATCTCAGTCTTCACACTTTTTATCAAAATGATTTCAACTATTGCAGTCTCAGTTAACATTTACTTGTATCTCCAGTCCATATCTCTAATGAGTACCAGACTTACAGACCAGTGTATACTATTTGGTCTCCTATAGGTCCTGTAGATTTAACATCTGTAGTAAACTGCCCCTCCCACTAACTTACCCCACTTTGTGTATTCACTTTCTTGGTAAATGGAAACACCATGCACCTGGAACTTGAAAGTCATCGTACCTTGCCTTTTTACCACCCTCTTAACTGGTTTACTGCTTTCATACATGCACTGCTAATCACTTCTCTGTAATCAGTGATGTATAGCTAAATGTTTAACATCTGGCTCACTAGAGGAAGAGAAAGGCCTGATGTGTAATGTTTGCCTAATTTCCATAATATAAATACTCCAAAGTTGGTTTCAAGCTATCAATATGACGTCACTGAGTTGAGAAGAGACGTATGATGCCACACCAGTCTACAGTATTTGTACCATACCTATACAACAAACAAATAACAGTGAGAACAGATAATAGTAAAATAATTAGCAAATTAAGGTTTGTAGTACTTATTACTTTGGTTTTATTTGCAAGTTTATATAATTTAATTTTTAACATGATTGTTTTTAGCAACCAGTTCAAACATTTTCTGTTAACAGTCAGCTTTCGTAGTTCAGCCTTTTAATGGCTTACCAACACTATTTTGGATAAATTACAAAATCCTTCATTTAGAGAACTTTCGGCATCGTATTAAGTCATAGCACTCTTTACTGTTCCCAAAATGAATATTCAACAGTCTTTACTACTCATACTTAGCTTCCCTAGCTAATATTTACTCTTAAAACTTTCAAATAGATCAAACCTTTCTGTTTTATGATTTCATTAGGCCCTGTACTTACCCTTTTATAAGACTTGTGACATAGTAATCACTTTCATAATAACAAATAGCCTTTAGTATTCACCATGTACAGTGCTGTTCATAATCCATTACTACATAAATGCAGCTGATGGACTACATCTCCCCTCTAGATGTACTGTGAAAAATCCAAGCAGCACATAGAAAACATGACTGAAATCAATGCTGTATAAAACATACAAATATCAGATGTAAAATGATTAATCTATTTCATGACAGATAAAGATTATTTAAGAATGCCAAATTTGGGCTGGGGATTTAGCTCAGGCTTCTGCTGCATGCCTTGGAAGCACAGGGACCGGAGTTTGATCCCCAGTGTGCCAAAAAAAATAAAGGCAAATTTTCTGGGGCTTTAGCTTGGTGGCATCTCGCCTGCCTGGCAAGCTCAAAGTCCTGAGTTTGATCCCTAGTACAAAAAAAAAAAAAAAAATGCCGAATTAACTCACTCATGTTCATTGATTCACTTAGAAAAGTTTGAGTGCTTAACAGCCACTGTGATGCATAGCTATGATAACCTAGGAAAAAAGTAGTGGAAAACATAGCCTGCACCCTGGGGAAACTTACAATCTAGTGGGGAAGGCGGGGTAGAAAAATTAACAATTACTATGTAGTGACATTAGTGCTATATGACATGACAAACATCTAACTCCATCTTGATCATGAGAACTTCCCTTAGTAAGGTGGGATTCCTAAATAGTCTTAAAAAAAAGCAAATAGGATTTGATTAAGTTAAATTTCCATTCAAGGCATTGATTTCATAATAAAGGAGCATAGAACTTTAATAAAAGAATTAGGTGGGACGGCTATTAAGTTGGTATATGTGCCAAAACGAGCACTGGCTATTAAGTTAGAAGTGCTGCTTTTTATCTGTAAGAGATGTTTAGAATGCTCACACTGAAAAATGTCTCTTTCTAAGTATAAGAAACTACCTTGAGTGATGTCTAGATTTCTAATGAAGAATGATGATACCGTTTGAATTAAGTATCTTGGACTAGTTTTACACAGAGCTTGTAGCAGATTTGCTGAAGCATCTGTCCAGCTTGTTATCCTGTGAAAGTGTTATTTTCTGGATAGACATTCCTAGAGAGTATTGTCTTTAAAATCAAATAGTCTCCTCTATATTGAAAACATTTTTATGTTTTCTAATTTAAAAATCAATATTTCCTTGCAGATATTGTGCAATAAAGCTGACATAGGATGTGTGGTTTTTGCAAATGCTTTAACAGCTGATTAAAATTTTACATTTATAAAATTAATATATTGTACTGGTACACAATAGTTTTAAATTATATTTTAAAGCTCCCCCTACATACACAAAAACAGAATTAGGTGGGGTTATAAATCTGATTTAGCACTTGGCTCACATGCACAAGGGCTCTGTGTTTGATTTCTAGCCCTCAAATCAGCAACCAGTGAAAAACAATATTTGAAAGAGTTGTGCTATAACTGAAGAAATGGTACTACAATGATAGTATTTATAGTGATAGATACAAAAACATTATAAACTGTATAGAATGGCACACAAATATTAGTATCTTGATGTGTTGGAATTGGGGGAGATGGAGACAGAAGACAGGAGGTATGTGCTGTGTTTGAGCTTTTATCTCTGCTTCTTATTACTGGCAATGTAAGCAAAACTGGTATGAGGTGTGATCAAAATATATGGTGTGTGTTTAAATTTTAGCCAGGCATGGTGGCGCATATCTTGTACTCCTAGCACTCCGGAGGCTGAGGCAGGGAGATCACCAGAAGTTCGAAGCCAGGCAGGGCTACATAGTGAGTGCAAGGCCAGCCTGAACTACACACTGAGACTCTGTCTGAAAAAAAAATTAATTAATTTAAAAATTATCACAGTAAAGACAGATTTCCACTAATCCACCTTAAAATCCTCTCCCCACACACACACACACACACACACACACACACACACACATGAATGTGCTTTAGACACACTCATCCCGTTATTAATGCTACTTTCTGAAGCAGTTCTAGAATCTTTTTTTTGTGAAGTATCTTTTGTTTGTACTGTCATGGCTGCCTTGATGACCTGAATTGATTGAAAATGTTTATTTGTTGGTCATATTGACTTTGGAGAAGAACTAAAAGTCACACAATGCCAGAACAGTGAACAAGATGCATGAGGCTGGCTGTGATGTTTTTATAAGCCTGCCTTTCCATTTGATGGCATCTGGCAGTAGCATTCACCGTGTTTTATATCACACCTCATAAAGATATTCAGGAGTTCCAGAACTGCTTCAGAAAGTGGCAAGAAGAATGGGATAAGTGTGCTTCAAGTGAAAGAAGAGTCCTGTGAGGGAAATTAATAGCAATATATCTTTTGGTAATATATTTTTTAAATTAAATAGTCATTTCATTTTTCAAGAACTTGTGTATATAGGACAGAACCAAAACCAGCCCATTGAGGCTTCATGTGGGAATTCCCAGAGCGCTGGATTACAGGCTTGTACCACCACATGCATGTTGATCAGGGTCATATGAGTGCTCATATTAAGGACTAGGTTGGGAAGAAGTGTCTCTTTTAAAAGCTCTGAAAAATAAAGATACTCAAATCATTTTTTTACCATTTTTTTTACAACTTATAAAAATTAGCATGAATTGGTTTCTAGTCCAGTATCTAGATACTTTGAATTAAAGTTTTTTATGTAAATGAAAGGCACCTTTAAATTTCTTTAACCATTTCGATTTAGTCAGAGGTATAATAGTTAGAATTTGAGTTGCCATTTTTTTTTGCTGCTGTTGTTTGTTTGTTTAAGGTTTCCCTTGGATCCTAAAAGAAGAAAAGAATGGGTTCGCCTGGTTAGGCGCAAAAATTTTGTGCCAGGAAAACACACTTTTCTTTGTTCAAAGCACTTTGAAGCCTCCTGTTTTGACCTAACAGGACAAACTCGACGACTTAAAATGGATGCTGTTCCAACCATTTTTGATTTTTGTACCCATATAAAGTCTATGGTAGGTAATGTTATTTTTTTAAACCATTTTTAGCAGCTTTCCTTTTTGTTCATACAAAGGAGCAATCAGAATATGCTACTATTTACATATAGTGATATGTTCAATAGTCATACCTTTAGATTTTTTGTTTTTTAGGGGGGTTTTTTTGTTAGTATTGTTTGTGATACTTAAGTAATAATTACATTCATTGTGGGGAATTGATACTTACACATAGCATATCTTAATCATTTTTACTTCCCTTTCCCCGCCCCACTCTCCTGTCTCCCTATCCCTATATCTTCCTCTTTTGCAATAAATGTGTATCCTCAATTAGAACTCAGGTCTCCTGACTCCAATATTCTTTCCCAATCTAAATTATTTTACTGGAGAGATTGAGCAATGCTGATATGAATTTTTGTGTTAAAGATGCTCAACTGGTAAAGTCTATATAAATATTCCAAAATCTAAAAACCTTGAAAATCTGAGCTACAATGGTCCTAGCATAAGGAACAATCAACCTGTATTAGAACTTTACACTGTTATCAATTGTTATCAATAAATACACCCTTTATAAAACTAATATTAATGAAACCTCCAGCATCACTCTGATACTAAGATGACATATGAATAACGTGCTACGTGCTTTAAGAGCAACCCACCCTAAGTTATAGGATATAGGGATATAAATTTCGAGTGAACTAGAGTTGAGAAAATTTAATAAAGGGCAGGGGATTTAATTCAGTGGTGCCACCACCTGCCTTGCAAGCACAAGGTCCTAAGTTCAATCCCCAGTACTGCAAAAAAAGAAAGAAAGAAAACTTAATAAAACTGAAGCATTCATTCAGTCTGGATTTGAGAACTTGAGAGTTTGGAAAAGGTTTTTGACCATGTAGAGAACAACTGTAACTGAAGGTAAGAACAATGGGGTAAAAGTGAGAAATTATCAAATGTTAACAAGTAATATTTTTTTTAAAGGAGAGAATTGAGGTAAAGGATGAATGAATTAAAACCTACATTTTATCTACTTAGGGAAGATCTGATCAGAAAGGGAAAGTTGAGAAAGGCTCACCAAAAGAAAAGGATAAAATAAAAAGAATTTAGCTTTAAAAAGGACAGACATCTTTTCCTCAGAAAAATGCACTTTTTTTTTCTGAATTATTTGTGAATAATTTGTAAATAGACACAAGGGCAAGAACTTTTCTCTTTTGAAACTTCAACACATCAGCACTTCAAACAGTACTTGGAACATAGTACATATTCAACTGTTTATTGAATTTGAAATGTACCTTACCTCTGACATTTTGATTATTCATCCAGTAAATATTTACTCAACTTTACATTATGCCAGAATCTGGTGCTGGAGATATAAAGAGCAAAAGAGTTATGACCAATTCCCTATTCAGAGGGAGCATAAGTTTCGTGAGGACAGGAACTTTATTTGTCCTTCTTGTTTACCGTTGTTTCCCTAGGAATTTATTCATAGTAAGGCTTAATGAATGAAAGACAGTGTTATGGAGATATGATATAATCTGGAAACTAGATTATATCTAGTGTTTTAATATTCATAAAGTATAATGAAAGAGTTTGTCACATTTCTGATTTGGGTGAAAAGTTCCTGGCCAGATTTTAAGTCCTTAAAGATACAACTGTAAACAATAGGTTAATCTATTTTAAAGCTTGATGCTTCAAAATATATTTCTGTGGATCCTTCAATTTTTATTTTGGTAGTCTCCAGGTCTGAAATATTTATCAAATTTGGAGAATAATATTTAAGAAGGGGATAAAATAAACATCATAATAGATAACATGTATAAGTTCATTCTAAATTGCAATTAATAAGAAAATTGCAAAGAATTTTTAAGATCTCCATAGAGTCATAATCAATGTTTAAATATCTCTGGAGAGAAAGACAAAGAAAATAGGTGACTAGAGTGTATTCAACCTACTGAGAAATTTAATCCATGAGATACTCTACTGTTGTTTCCCATCATACTTTAAAATCAAAATTTAAAAGCACATTTTACTCTGTTATCCAGAACTAGACAGGATTTACTTATTTGTGATATTCTGTAACTTATGTTCAACTCTAATTTTATTTGGCTCAGGAACTAAAGTCAAGAAATCTTTTGAAGAAAAACAACAATTGTTCTCCCCCTGGACCATCTAATTTAAAATCAAATATTAGTAGTCAACAAGTACTGCTTGAACACAGTTATGCCTTTAGGAATCCTATGGAAGCGAAAAAGAGGATAATTAAGCTGGAAAAAGAAATAGCCAGCTTAAGAAGAAAAATGAAAATTTGCCTACAAAAAGAACGTAGAGCAACTCGAAGATGGATTAAAGCTACATGCTTGAAGAAAAATTTAGAATCAAATAACATATTACCTAAGGGCACATCAGAACACATTTTTCCAACTGCCTTAAGCAGTCTTCCTTTGGAAGATTTCAATATTCTTGAACAACATCAACAAGATAAAATATTACCAATTCTCTAAATCTAAAAAAATACCAAGAGTACCTTCACTTAAGTGTCTTGCACAGAACTTGAAGCCCGTCCACTGTTCTTTTCAGAGGTAAAGATATTTATGGCAAAATTGAGTATTTAATAAAGTTTTACTTGAAGTAACACTATTACTATATAATTTATGAAGATGACTACCAAATCTTTTTATGCAACTTTTATTTGAGAATGAATGGAAGTGCCTTACATGAGAATTACATACTTAGAAATTTTGCTAGGAAGTTATGTTTGCAAGGTTTCTTTGTTTGTCTTTTAAACTACTGTTAAAAACAGCCTATCACATGTATTATGTTTATATTTTAAAACAAATGTTTTCTTGTACCAAAGTTGAGGTATTACGCTCTAAATAAGATGCCAGCTACTAATTAATCACATTAATTGTGACCTTAAAACTCCTGTGTTCTGTTTTATTGGCACTACACTTTCAAAATTTATAGAAGAAAGCTTGAGCTACAGATGAAGTTATTTAAACTTTCTGTATGCCTTTTACCATTAAAAGTAAGCTTATCATGGCTTTTCTTATAAGAATATTAGATCTAAAAATGAGTTGTAAAAGTTTTGAAAATAATAAAGTACCTTTGAATCTTTCAAACTAGGTAAGGCTTTATGTACCTCAGACTACTAAAAACTAGTAGCTAATCATACTCAGCTTCTAAGAAAATGTATTGTGAAATAATTCAAAGTTCAGAATCTAGCTTTTACCTTAATAAAACATGTTTGTACTAGTCTTCCTTACAACAAAATTACTGAATTTCCAACTTCACAGCTGATACATTAATCAGCAAACATATTACCAAGTTTCTTGTTAGGCATACCCCTCAGCTTCATGTGTTTTGTTGCCCTTAACTGCTTTTATCTCAGAAATAACATATAAATATAGTAAATTACTCTACCCCTTTATCCACCCAGAAAAATTTAATCAAGAAGTACTTACTATATTGTATCTTAATAATTACAACTTAAATTATAATCAATTTATCTTACACATAGATTTCTTTTTCCCTCTCTTTCTTCCTCTCTCTTTAATGATTCAAACAGAACAACCATAATACATAAGGGAAATGAAATGTATTCTTTTTGTCGGGGGAGGACTGGTACCGGAGATTGAACTCAGGACCTTGCGCTTGAGAGGCAAGGCGACGGAACTACAGCTAAATCCCTGGTCCCTGAAATGTATTCTTTATAAAAAATACATCTGTCTGTGATAAAACTATGCAAATAGTAATTATTTTATAAAATACAAGTATCAGAACCATTCCTATGGTTGCATTTGTTTTTTGGTACTGGGGATCAAACTCAGGTCCTTGAGGCTGTGAGGCAGGCACAGGAACCACTGAGCTAAATCCCCAGCCCTCCTATGGTTGCATTTGAATTAAAAGACTTGCCTTATTTCACCAAATGTATAAGAACCCTCTCCTCCAAAAAGCTTTGATAAAATATAAAAATTTAATGATATAATCAAGTTATTTAATCCCACTTTGTAATATTACCATATGAAAATAGCATATACCTAATCATAAATTACTGTAAATCTTTCCTATAAAGATAGGGCCTTTTTTGCCAACTGTTTGGATAGCCTCTTTTTTCTTTTAAATGGGATTTGCTTAGGTCCTACCAGCAATCTTTTTATAGTATTAGCACTTTTTCTTTTGTACTGGGGATTGAACCTAGAGCCTCACACATTGAACCAGAGCAACCAAGTCCTTGGTCACTGAGCTACATCCCCAGTGCTTATTTTATTTTCAAACAGGGTCTCACTAGGTTGCCCAGACTATTCTTCAACTTGAAGTCTTTCTGCCTCTGCATCCTGAACGCTAGGATGGCAGATTACAGGCATGGACCACCATTCTCTCTAGTAAGGAATGTCTTCCAAGCAAATGCAAAAGTGGGAAAGTTGCTTTTAGTTCACGTGAGATGTTTATAACAAATATTTATGAAAATCCTTTGCAGATGATACAAACCTTGTTAAGTGCTTTTATCTTAAGTATTGGATATAATTGCTTAGAATTATGACTGCATATTTTTTCTAGTATGATTTCAAATACCTTTATATAATCTTACATACCAGTATATAATCATGAGCAAACATACACTGGTCATACCTACATTGTAATTCAAAATACATTAGGCCAATAATCATTTAAACATGTAATATTTTCCAAGTATAAACTTTCATGTAGTTTATCCTCTACCCTAAATATTAAACACTAATTAATGCAGCCTAGTTTCTATCTACAACTTTCTTCATATCTTAAACCAAAAACAATAAGCTTTTACAAAGTTACTTTGTCTTCATTGATTATTTGATATCATTGAAGTAAGTACCCCTCAGTAATTTTAAACATTTTTTGTGTTTTCTGTGTCATTTTCTTGTTACTGTCCTGATAACATACTCTGAATCCTCCCTGTGTCAAATTATTTTTGTTTTGTTTTGTTCTTTGATACCAGGGATCGAAATTGGGAACTTGCACTTGCACAGCAGGCAGCAGCACCACTGAGCTAAATCCCCAGCCCATCCCAGTGTCAAATTGTTTTAATTAACATAGATCTGTCTCTATCTTCATTCATGGAGAAATACGTAAAAGCAATTTAAAAGTTCGTTTTCATTTTGCTGGTAAGATTTTGTAGCACTCTGACAATATACAATAAAACTAATCAAAATTAATAATTTTTTCCCAAGCTGGACACAGTGAACAATTGTTCATTCATTGTGTGTACTGGCCACTAACTTCTACAAAGAAGCAACCAAAGGCCAGACATTTGATATAAACATAAATATTGGGCTGCAGGCTGTAGCTCAGAAGTAGAGTACATGCTTAGCATACATGATATCCTCCTAGCTTCAATCCCTAGCACCAAAAAAGAAAAAAAAGAAAAAAAGAAAATGATTTTTCTGCCCTTACCTTGCTCAGACTCCTTAGAGAAACAGATAACATGTATAATACAATATATTAGTGCTAATAAAGAAATAGGTGCAATATGCTTTGTAAACACTGTTGAAACTCAGTGAGAACATATAAACTTTGAGGTCTTTGTATAATCAAACGCTTTCTTTCAAATAATGAGTTACCAGGGTTGGGAATGTAGCTAGCAAGCACAAAGCCCAGAGTTTGATTTCCAGTACTTAAAAAAAAAAAAGAAATGAGTTACCAAAGAAGGTAGAAGGACAGTGGAAGTTGACTGGAATGTAGTATTGAGTTGTAAGACATTTTTACCTTAAAATGCTTAACTAATTTGTGATAGTATCTTTGTAAGAAGGAAACCATTGGTACAAAAAATACTACATCAATGCCAAGTTCTAGAGTTCATTTATAATTTGATATTTGTACAAAATAACCTAACAGATTTCTAAAACAGATTTAACTCAGCCTTGCAAAACAGTTGATACCTATTCCTTCTCTTGAATTTATATGTGTTAGATGGTATTACCTCTGATTTAGACAACAAAAAAAATCTTTATAATTCACACATGTACTCTGTACCAACTTTCAGAATGGATGAAAATTCCTGTGGTCTACATAGTTCTAGAATGAGTGCAGGTCTGGTTCTAAATCTTCTCTGCCCTCAACATTCTAATTCTTTAATAAGTGTTATTAAAATAGAACAAGTCATGTCTCTTAAAAATATGATAAAATTTTATATATGTGTAAAGATAGTCTGTATGGTCATTGTTGATCTTTTCTAGGTAGACTTTATAATGTTTTGGCTCATTTCTAAATTTTAGAATACAGGTAAATTTTACTTTTGGTATAATACACAAAGTGGTTCATCTTTGTACCAGAAATAGAATTCTTTTGATATTTAGAAGTTGGAAACTTTGTAAAAGTTAAACATTTTGTAATATATATTATGCAATTGTATATTCACAAAAATGTATTTAAATTATGTTGATATTAAAAACCTTTTTCAGTGAAATTACTGTCATGCCTATTATTTCCAAAAAATATAAACATTTCTGTGAAAGTTCTTGCCTGAACTTTTTGCCTGAATTTGACCCCTTCAAGGACTTCTCAGAATTCCTTCTAAAGTTGAAGCAAATTGTAAAACAAGTAGAGATAATTCCTGAGGAGGAATTAGTTTCACATGTGTTATAGTGAAATGTACATTATAGTTTATTTTTATTGATAAATGCTGTTTATACAATCTGGGTTAGATATACAAAGGACTAAAAAAAATGCTCTTTCTAGGAGTCTAACTAATTTCAGCCTCATACAAAGATTTATTTGTAGATATGATTACAAGAGCAGTGTTAATGTTTTTTAAAATTTAAATTTTTATTTTGTTTTTTGTTTGTTTGTTTTTTGTTTTTTTGGTACCGGGGATCAAACTCTGGACCTTGAGTTTACAAGGCAGGTGGTGGAACCACTGAGCTAAATCCCTGGCCCTTTTGTTTTCCTTTTTAAAAATAAATTTTATATCATTTCCCCCTCAATTCCCCCCCATGTACAAATGCTTTGTTTCCATTTTTTCCTTTTATTTTCACTTTGTTTAACTTGTTTTTCTTGTCCCTTCCTTCCTCCCTCCTCCCTGATTACCCTTCCCATTTGAACACTTTGTTTCCATTTCCCAACATCCATCATATATTCAGTCCTTATTTTCACATTCAGTTTCTCACACCAAAGAATGTGATATTAAAACGTGTGTCCTATTTATTTCGCGTGAGTATGATCTCAAGGTCCATCCATTTAGCTACAGGTCCATCCACTTAGCTACACATTTCTGCAGCTCACCTTTCTTTATAAGAGTGTAGTACTCCGCTGTATATTTAGAAAAAAAACAACCGACATCTTTATCGGTTGGTGAGCATTTGAGCTTTTCCAAGATTTAGCTATTACAAACTGTGGTGCTATAAATTTGAGTGTGCATATATTGCTGTGGTATGATGCTTTTAATTTTTGGGGGAAGATACCAAGAAGAGGTGTAGCTGGGTCACATGGAACCTCTAGTTTTAGTTTTTTGAGGAACCACCACACTGATTGCATCCATCTACACTCCCACCAGGAATGGAGAAGGGTTCCTTTTTCCCCACAGTCCTTCCAGCATTTGTTGTTGGTTGATACCTTGATAATATCCATTCTTTCAGGAGTGAGAGGAAATCTTAGCATTGCTTTGATTTGCATCTCTCAAGGACCAGTGAGGTTGAACACATACATTTATTTGCCATTTCTAATTCTTTATCTGAGAAGTGTCTTTTTATTTCACATGCTCATTTTTGCAATGAGTCTTTAAATTTAGGTGGTTTTATTTGTTTGGTTTTGGGTTTTTTTGTGTTTTTAGTTCTTTATATATTCTAGATAATAGTCCTTTATCTGAATAGCTGGTAAAAAAAATTTTCCACTCTGGATTGTCTCTTCACTCTGTTGGTTATTTCTCTTGCTGTACAAAAGCTTTTAATATGATGAGGTCTCAGATGTTGATTCTTTGTAGTATTTCCATGTGGTTTGGGTTTGTTCATGAAGTCTTTGCCTACTCCTATGTCCTCAAGCATTCCATCTATTCTCTCTTCCAGCAGATTTAGTGTCTCTGTTTTAATATGTAAATCTTTTATCCATTTCAATTTTAGGTTAGTGCTTGGTGAAAACTACGGGTCTAATTTCAATCTTCTGCATGTGAAAAGTCAGTTTTTCTAGCACCATTTGTTAAAGAGGCTTTCTTCCAGTGAAGGTGTTTGGCACCTTTGTGATAAGATAAGGTCACTGAGTGCTTGGAGTTGTTTCTGCATCTTGTAGTCTGTTCCATTGATCCTCAGGTCTGTTCTTTTGCCAGTACCTTGCTGTTTTCATCATAGTAGCTTTTTAGTATAATTTCAGGTCAGGAATTGTGATACCCACTCCCTTGCAATTTTTGCCCAGAATTGCCTTTGCTATTCTAGGTCTCTTCTGGTTTCAGGTGAATTTTTGGACTGTTCAAATTCTGTGAAATTTTTCTATTGGGATTTTGATTAAGATTGCATTGAAACCATATAACAATTTTGAAAGTCTGGCCATTTTCACTGTATTGGTTCTTCCTATCCAAGAACAGAGTATATCTTTCCATTTCCATTTCTTCAATCTCTTTTTCAGAGTACTGTAGTTTTCAATGTAGAGATCTTTTGCTTCCTTCCTTAGGTTGATTCGTAGGTTTTTTTTTTTTTTTTTTTT